AGAAGCTCAAGGACAGCGCTCAGGCCCAGAGTTCAAGCACTAGGACCAACAAACAAAAATAAATAAAGTAGGGCTGGGAAGGTGGCTCAGTGGTATAGTGCTTGCCTTGCATGCCTGACGCCCTGGGTTCGATTCCTCAGCACCACATAAGCAAAAAGAAAAAAGCCGGAAGTGGCGCTGTGGCTCAAGTGGTAGAGCACTAACCTTGAGCTGAAGAGCTGAGGGACAGTGCCCAAGCCCAGAGTTCAGGCCCCACGACCGGACCCCCGCCCCAAAATAAATAAATAAAGTATTTTGACGTTTATGAAATGGCAGCATACATACACACACACACACACACACACACACACACAATTTAATCCCACAATACCTATAATTGGTAGAATTGCCATTGTAGATTCAGAAAATGAGAAATCCAGAGACTAATGACTTACTTAGTGTCAGCTGACTAATAAGAGGCAGAAGTAGAACTTGGCCATGGTCTTTTGATTTTAAATCTTACGTCTTTTTCACTGTCCCATACTGCCTGAATTTTTTCACTCCTTTGTTCTTAAGCCATCATGATTTGGTCACCTAGAAATGAGTTGAAAGTCTGACCTTTTTCTACAAGGTCCATCAATTTAATAATAGTTACTGGGACACACTGTCACCATGGATACTGTAGTCAATGTTGAAAAATAACCCTGTGAATCTTTGATTCACTACTACTCAGTAGTTGTTTTGGATTGTGCTGTCTAATCTTTATTTTCAAATGAGGTAATTAGTGTGTGGTACTTGTTTCTGAAGCCAGTAGCCAGCAATTAACAAGCATAAGCCCCAGCTAGAAGAGGGTTGTTTTTGCTTCTTTTGGCCAGCTGTGGTGCAGCACATGAAGTCTTCTCTTTGGATAGTCATTTTTAGCAAATGACCTTCATTTATTTGCTCAGATACCCCAATACCACAGACTGTGGGCAAGTGACTACATCTTTCAAGAAACTTTTGCGTAACAGAGTGAAATTTTTGTAACAGCAACTTAAGTATCACCAGGTGAGCTCCCTGTCTAAGAAAAGTCATCTGACACCCATTACATCTAGCCTGGGTTCCTGCTATGCCTTAAGTAAGGGGTATTTGTGTGTTTGTTTGGTTTTTTCTCTCTCAGGCTATAAACAGAATTTCACCTCTGGTGACTTTGTAGTTGGCACCATTTTTGTTGTTTTTGTTTGCCTTTTGCTGCAATTGTAGTCTAAAGAGTCTTGTGGGCTCTGGCTCAATCTCCTCCCATTCTAATCCCAAGCAGCAGGACCTGACAGTGGGCTTCCCTTCCTGACAGGCCTAGACTTGAACTTGGGAAAATGGGAAAAACTCCACTCTTTGGACCCATAATTCTTCTGATCCCACCAAACTCTTATGATCCTTGCTAAAAAGAAGTGGCATTAAGGGCTGGGAAGGTGGCTCAGTGGTAGAGCGCTTGCCTTGCATGCATGAGGCCCTGGGTTCCATTCCTCAGCACCACATAAACAAAAAGAAAAAAGCCAGAAGTGGCGCTGTGGCTCAACTGGTAGAGTGCTAGCCTTGAGCTGAAGAGCTGAGGGAGAGCGCCCAGGCCCAGAGTT